ACCCCCCAAAAAATAAGATATTCCCCAAAAATAAACTCTAATGCATTTTTGGTGTCAAAAAAATATATAAGACCAGGTCTTATTTTCGAGGAAACATGGTAGCTAGGCAAAGCTTTGTGAAAGTATTTTTGCCCCTGTCCATGATTCAGAAGCAGAATTTCCAAAGTATTTCTGTTTCAGAACAGGACATCACCACTCCTATGTGGTGTGGGGATTTCACTTGTGCAAATGGTCAACTGCATTTCAGTCTTGTTTGGATTAAATCTTATTTTTTTAGTCCCTATCTAGACCATTACCATTCTTTAGTACACCTTCATGAGCTGTTATCTGCTGGATCTGAAGCATTGCTGAATGTATGAAATAGAAATGTAAGATATAGAATAAAGGCTTTGGGAAGGTTCTAGTTAAATCTGATTAAATCAATTTACCATGCTTTATCTGTATGTCAGACTAAGACACAATAGTTTGAACAAAGATATTATTTATGATGGTATTATGTTATGACATATGATTATAATAATATTATAATTCTATTAATATAACATACACCAGGTTATTGTTAACAAATGATTTTCTGGAGCCTTTTCAATCAGATTCAGGCCTGGTTATGGGACAGAAACAGATTTGGCTGCATTAGTTGATGATTGCTGGCAAGAGTGGAATGGGGTAGTGCAATCATCCTTGCTCTTTTTGACATCTCATTAGCCTTTGATACCATCGACTGTGTTATCCTTTTGGGTCACTGTGGGTTTGGGGCTGGGTGGTGCAGTTTGCATTGGTTCAGCTCCTTTCTCTAGGGTCTGTCCCAATCTGTGTTGATAGGGAATGAGGAGTGATTGTCCACTCCTTTGTAGGATGCCGCAGGGCTCTGTACTTTCTCAACTCCTTTTTAACTTTTACATGAAGCCACTGGATGTGATCATCTGTCACCATGGATTGCAATATGAATATGTTGATGATATTCAGCTTTATATCTCCACCCCGGTGATCCAAGTGATGCTTTGGGATATCTGGAGGCTGTGGGGGCCTGGATTAGGGACAACAGGCTTCGTCTGAACCCTGGCAAAACCAAGTGCATAGAGCTTCAAGATGTAGGACTTTAACTTCTTTAATTCTGGATAGGATGGCATTACCACAGATAGACCTGATCTGCAACTTGGGGATTTTCTTGGACTTGCGACTCCTGCTCAGAGAGCAAGTAGCAGTAACGGCTAGGCTCTATTCCATTTTGTGCATCAGTTGCAGCCTTTCGTGGATCAGGAATCCCTGTGTTCAATCACTCAAGCCCTAGTCATCTCATGTTTGGACTGTTGCAGTGCTGTACATGGGACTACCACTGAAGAGCATTCATAAGCTACAATTGGCGCAGAGTATGGCAGGGTTGTCAGTTCTTGGAGCCCCTAGAGTGGCCCATGTTACACCACTGCTGGTATTGGTAATTATCTATAAAGCCTTTCATGGCATAGTTCCAGGTTACTTGAGGAACTTCTTATCTTAGTGGGACTGGCCCACTCCACCCATGCTGGCAGAGCTGTTGGTCAAAGAATTTTGGCTAGTGGGGTACAGGAGAAGAGCCTTCTGTGCTGTGGCTCCTGCCCTTTCGAACATCTTACCCTCTGAGGTAAGATTGGCTCCCACCCTCCTGGCTTCATAAAACCTGATTCTGCAAGATGGGTTGGGACCCCTGTGGGGCAGCTTGACACTTGAGGTAGTTGAGTAATCAAAAGCTAATTCCACCTTCATTCCTGCTCCCTCTTTTTCCATCTTACATTAATTATTTTGTCTATCATTTTATATTCAATGTTTAATGTTTATATTATTTAATGTTTTGAATATTTATTATGCTGTAAGCACCCAGAGTCATTCGAAACAAAACAGATAATGAATAATCTAATGAATAAATAAGTAAGTGAATAAATACAGATGAAATAAAGGTCAAAGGGAGAATTGTCAAATCAGTACCTGATTGATATACCCTTCTTCAGATAATGTAAGGTAATGATTGACTTACAACCACAATTTAGCCTAAAATTTCCATTGCTAAGCAAGATAGTTGTTAAACAAGTTGCACACCATTTTACAATTTTTTTGCCACAGTTGTTAAGCAAATCACTGCAATTGTTGAGTGAATCATGCAGTTGTTGAGTGAATCTAGCTTTCCCCATTTCTTTGTTTTTGGAAGCCAGCTGGAAGGTTAAAATGGTGATCACATCATTAGGACAGTGCAAGTGTCATGAATACATGCCAGTTGCCAAGCACACAAATTTTGATCACATGACCATGATCAGGGGTAGGCAACCTTGGCCCTTTTATGACTCGTGGACTTCAACTCCCAGAATTCCTGAGCTAGCCATGCTGGGAATTCTGGGAATTGAAGTCCACGAGTAATAAAAAACCCAAGGTTGCCTACCCCTGACCATGAGAATGCTACAACAGTCATTAGTCATTCTGAAGGAACTGGCAGTTGTTATTGCACCGTATCTTTCACAAATCCTGGAGCATCGGGGAAGTACCTGAGGATTGGAAAAGGGCTGATTTGGTTCCTATCTTTAAGAAAGGGAGGAAAAACCAGACCCAGAAAACTACAGACCAATCAGTTTAACATCAATACCAGGGAAGATCCTAGAAAAGATAATCAAAAAACAGATGTGCAAACAAGTAGAAGCAAACAAAGTTATAACTAGTAGCCAGCACGAGTTTGTTAAAAAAAAATCATGCCAAACCAATCTTATTTCATTCTTTGATAAAGTGACTAAACTAGTAAACCAGTGAAATGCTGTGGATATAGTACACTTAGACTTCAGTAAGGCATTTGATAAAGTAGATCATAACCTACTCCTTGGTAAGCTAGAAAAAGGTGGAATAGACAACATCATTGCCAGCTGGATCTGTAGCTGGCTGACAAAACGTACTCAACAAATAGTCCTCAATGGCACTATATCCACATGGAGAAAAGTAAGCAGTCGGGTACCACAAGGTTCCGTCTTAGGCCCAGTATTCTTCGATATCTTCATAAATGACTTAGATGAGGAAATTGAAGGGGAACTCATCAAATTTGCAGATGACACCAAACTGGCAGGAGTAGCCAACACCCCAGAAGACAAACTCAGGATCCCAAAAGATCTTGACAAACTTGAACAATTGGCCTGTCCAACAAAATGAATTTCAATATGGAGAAAAGCAAAGTCTTACATTTAGGCAGGAAAAACCAAAGGTACAAGTACAGATTAGGTGAGACCTGGCTTAAAAACAGTAACTGTGAGAGGCACCTTAGAGTCTTAGTGGACAATCACTTGACTATGAGTCAGCAGTGTGCAGCAGCAGCCAAAAAAGCTAATACAATCATGGGTTGTATAAACAGGCATAGAATCAAGAACATGCAAAGCATTAGTACCACTTTATAAAACCCTAGTAAGACCACACCTGGGATGCTGAAGCCAGTTTGGGTCATCATATTACAAAAAAGATGTTGAGAGTTTGGAAAAAATTCAGAGAAGAGCAACTAATATGATCAAAGGCCTGGAAACAAAAACATATGAAGAATGGCTGCAGGACTTGTGTTTGGCTAATCTAAAGAACAGAAATAGGGGAGACATGACAGCAGTATTCCAGTATTTGAGGGGCTGCCACAAAGAAGAGAGGGTCATGTTATTCACCAAAGCACCAGAGCAGGACAAGAAACAATGATCAAAGAGAGAAGCAACCTGGAATTAAGGGGAAACTTCTTGATAGTGAGGACAATTAACCAGTGGGAACAGCTTGCCTCCAGAAATTGTGGGCATTCCATCACTGGAGATTTTCAAGAAAAGGCTAGACCAGAGGTCCCCAGCCCCCAGGCCATGGCATGCCAACAACCGGTCCACACAAACAAGCAAAGCCCCATCTGTGGCATGGAGGCAACACACAAAACCATGCATTTTCCAGTCCATGGAAAAACCTTTCTCCATCGATATGGTCCCTGGTACCCAAAAGGTGGGGGACCTCTGGGCTAGACAGTCACTTGTCTGAGATGGTAGGGGGCTGGACTAGAAGACCTCCAAGGTCCCTTCCAGCTCTATTCTATTCTATTCTAGTATGAAAACCACAGCCATAAGTCAGTTTTTTCAGTGTTGTAAATTTGAACAGTTATTAAATGAATGGTTGTAAGTCAGATTACTTTTACAGCATGTAACAACATACAAGCAAAACACAGATTGAATAGGACTTGGGCTACACACATTGGAAATGGCAAATGCAGCTGATATTTCACCGCTGTAAAGAACCTGCCCTGTCATTTCATCATGAAGTCCAACCTCAAGGACTTGGATTATGCAGAGTCCATCAGCATTGAATCCCTGATTATCAGAGCCAGATGAGATGGCTAGGACACATCATCAGAATGGATGATCGTTGTATGCCATGCTAGTTGCTTTATAGTGAGTGGAGTCCATAAAAGATCTTGAGGTCAACCATGCAAGTGCTACAAAAACACTATGAATGAAATCCTGCTTCACTGTGACATCCAGCCTAGGGAATTATAAATTGCCGCTGACAGAATCCAGAGGCAAGGCCTCTATTCTAAAACCTGCATTGGCTTTGAAGACAGGTGCCACCAAATTGATAGAAAGCTGTAATGATGTCACAGAATAACACACGGAATTACTATAGCAATGGACTTTCAGTGTTCTCATTGTGCTAGACTCTCCACTGGAACTGCATAGCCACCTCTATATTTATAAATGAACTGCACAACAGCATGTCTTCTTGAAACCCAAATGACTAACTTATATAGTATGTTACATAGAAGAGGCGAGGGAGGGGGGAAGAGAGCGAGAGCGCTGCAGTATAACTAACATTGGATTTGAAACTACTGTCTTATTATCTCGTATGCAAATATGAATTTGACAAAAACTGTTCAATCTAGTTTAGATTTCTACAATCATTTCTCTCTCTCTCTCTCTCTCTCTCTCTCTCTCTCTCTCTCTCTCTTTCTTTCTTTCCTTGTTTGTTTCTTTTTTTAGCCAAATCAAACAGGAAGCTAACTTTTTTGTATCTGGCTAATGATGTTATTCAGAATAGCAAAAGAAAAGGACCAGAGTTTACAAAAGATTTTGCACCTGTCATAGTGGGAGCTTTTAAACACGTATCGAGGTATAGTACATTCCTTTCAGTATATTAATCTAAAGAACTATTTTTTTCTAGGCAAAAATCATCATCCTAGAATAATGAAAGTTTGACATATAGATTGCTGTTTGGTTTGATTTGATTTAAAAAATGGAACTAAAGTGAATGCATAAGTGTGTGTGTATGTGAGTGAGTGTAATGGAAGGGCTGTGTGTGTGTGTGTGTGTTTGTGTGTATAGAATTGGACTTGTAATTGGCATAGATGAAAGATGATTGTTGTAAGGCTAAATCTATACCAATGTATGATTTTAATTGGACCAGAGGTTTGTAAGCAGCATTATTTAATCTTAACAATGTGAATATCAAGATTCAGACATTTGAAACGATCATATGATGAACTTCCAATAGAAAATCCTGTTATGTCCAAAAGATCATACTATCACCAAAAATTGAAAAGAGTTAACATGGGAGCTATTCAGATATGCAGAAACTTTTGTTTTTCTGACTGAAAATACAGATAACAATCTATTAAAATGTGGTGACTTGAAATAAATTTGTATAAAACAAATAAGGTGTCTAGAAGTTTGTTGAGATAAGTTTCTGTTTACTTATTTTTCTTCCATTTCTATTGATGACTTTTTTGCCATCATAGTGAAACTGATGATAGCTGCAAAAAGCATCTGGGCCGTGTGCTATCTATTTGGGAAGAAAGGTCTGTTTATGAAAATGATGTATTGGAACAACTTAGACAAGCTTTGTGTAAGTAAATTTCATATGCAGCCTTTTATGGTTTGTATAACTTTATACTTGATTTTTAAATCTTTAATTTTTAATTTCTAGATGGAAACCCAAGGAAACGCACATATGAGCAGATAAAGATTGAAAATAATTGCTCTGCACAAAGCTCTCCATGTGATCCTCCCCAGGTACTAGCAATGTATAAAAATAACAACTGCAAATGTCTTGCTTCTAAACATTCTGTTGATACTGCACTTTGAGGTGTTTTTTTTCTAAAGAGATCGATAGGGTGTTTTTCCAGCAACTATAAGCTTTTTGTCTCTTGTGTTTTCCCCATATTGTTGTTTTGCTGGGTACTACCATGTTTCCCTGTCTTTTGGGCTCTGAAGTAAGCACTAGGTTTTGCTTTGGGGGAGTGCTTACTTTTTGCCAGTACCGGCACCAGTAGGTGCAAGCATGTGGGGGTGAGGCGGGGCCTGTGTATGGGATGGAGAAGCAACGCAGCGGCGAGAGCATGGTGGTGGATACGTTGCTTCCCTCCACCTGCCAGACACGTACTGAAGCCACGTAGGGTAAGGTTGCCACCTCCATCTCCACCCAGACGCTCTCGCCTCCCCCAAGCATTTTTTTTACTAACCTGTCTTTCAGCTGCATTGCGTTTCTCTGTCCACTTTTCAGCCTTCACCGCGTGTTTGTGGGACTACCGATAAAAAAAAAAGTTCAATCAGACTTTCTAAATTCTTGAGACAACACTATAAGTTGTTAAAACAACCGAAAATGGGTAAACTTCACTTTGCATTAGCACTTCAAAAGAAAAGAGGAACAGCTCTATACATTAAAGAAACAATGAACCCTAAACAAATTTATGTGGATAAAGAGGGGAGAATATTAATGGTGGAAATAATGATGGATCAAAAACAGATACTGATATAAGCAAGAACAATTTTACCAAAAATTACATTAAAAAAATTAGAATTGAACTATCAAAATCTCTGTATAATGGGAGACTTTAATGCAATAACAGATGGAACTTTGCAGTATAAAAGCACTAAACAAGGGAGGGAACCTTACACTGCGTGGTGGGGGGGGGAGGGTGCATGTCCTTTCTGTGCCAGGCCAGCCCCTGCAGCCCTGGGGCAAATGCTGGGTAGAGGCGGGCAGGGTGCTGAGGTGGGAGCTGCCAGGCTGACCAAAGTGGCAGGTGGAATGGTGGAGGCTCAGGGAAGGTGGGCGGACCATTGGTGAGCGCAATGCGGCATGGCAGAAAGTGGCCTCGGAACAAGTGGGGCAGGTAAGGAAAGAAATCCTCGCTTCCCACAGGAATTGCCTTTCTTTGGTTACCTGACTCCCAGCCTCGTGCCGTTTCTCCTTCATGATTTTGCATATGCGCAAACAGGACCACTAGTGCTGCACTAGTGCAACAATTTGGAAGCTGCTCTCCTTCACTCTGGGCCGTGAGCCTGGAAAGGTTGGAGACCTCTGGGCTACAAGATTAGAGCCAAGCAGCTTGGTGAGAAGGTGACAATAGTTGGTGCAATTATTTGCAAATGGAAGAAACAAAAAATGTCAGTCTTCCTTGGTCTGGGGCTCCATGCATGATCTCACTTCATGGAGTTTCAGTGATCATGAGAACGGTGAGGAATCAGCCCAGAGCTACACGGAAAGATCTTGTCAATGATCTCAATGCAGCTGGGTCCATAGTCACCAAGAAAACAATTGGTAATACACTACAGCGTGAAGGACTGAAATCCTGCAGCACCCACAAGGTCCCCCTGCTCAAGAAAGTACATGTACAGGCCTGTGTGAAGTTTGCCAATGAACATCTGAATGATTCAGAGGAGAACTGGGTGAAAGTGTTGTGGTCAGATGAGACCAAAATCGAGCTCTTTGACATCGGCTCAACTTGCTGTGTTTGGAGGAGGAGGAATGCTGTCTATGAACCCAGGAACACCATCCCCACAGTCAAACCTGGAGGTGGAACCATTATGCTTTGGGGGTGTTTTTCTGCTAAAGGGACAAGACAACTTCACTGCATCAAAGGGAAAATGGACGGGGACATGTACTGTCAAATCTTGAGTGAGAACTTCCTTCCCTCAGCCAGGGCATTGAAAATGGGTTGTGGATGGGTATTCCAGCATGGCAATAACCCAAAACATACGGCCAAGGCAACAAGGGAGTGGCTCAAGAAGAAGCACATTAAGATCCTGGAATGGCCTAGTCTCCAGAGCTTAATCCTATAGAAAATCTGTGGAGGGAGCTTAAGGTTCGAGCTGCCAAATGTCAACCTGGATGTCAGAATCCAATTATATTTCATCTCTAGTTATCAATTATAAAAAACCCCATTTCTGCCTTCTATGGATTCTGTCATACGATGAAGGGAAGGGGGTGAACAAATGGGCTTTATGGCCTTCATTGCCTTTGGTACACTTCAAAGGAACTGGATGTGTGTATCGCCAAAAGAACTAACCATAAGAATGGGGCTACTACCTTTCATGTAGTTTTCTTTGAAGTCTCCATCCAGCCGGCAGTAAGGAAAAAGGGGTGGGAGTGTAATGCCTGAGACTGTCACTGGAAGAGGGGGGTGATTGGGTGGGGCTACTGGCTACCCTAACCCTAACCCTTAAAACCTTGAATGGGAGAGCTTGGACCCCAAGTCCTGTCTAGAACGCCTGCAACCATTTTCTCTTAATAAAGGATAGTTGTTGGAAGAATTATTCTAAGAGTTCTGTCTTCTTAAGATGCAAAGTGGGGTGGGTCCTTACATAAGACAGAACTTGCAAAATTAATCCACCTGGAAGGGAGACCCTTGCCGGAGGATTTTGCAAAAATTTACCATGTCAGACAATGGAGCAAGAAAGGGGGAAAACTCCCTGGAAAGAGAGCCGCTGCCCCAACTGGAACCTTGCCAGATGTTGGGATCCGAGAGGTCAGATTCCTCAGGAGAAGAAGTGATGGAGACATGGGACCACAAGCCTCGCTGGTCAATGGGCGTTGGAAAGAAAAGTGAGTGGGGAAAGGAATCAAGAAAGGTGACCCTGAGACGGGGGGCTAAGCAACCAGAATGGAAGCAGGAAATGGAGAAATCCCTGCACACAAGTGAAGAGGGAGAAAGCTGGGCACCGTACTCAGACTGGATCCTAGAGAAAGCTATTGACCTGATGAAGAGAACTCTCAGCTCCCTAGGAGAGGAGAATCCTGAGCCCTACGGCCGCCTCAGCTCCTGGAGCCGCAAAGGGAGAGATACCAAGGGGGAAGTGGAACCTGCAACCCCGGGGACATCTGCTGATTCAGTAGTCCGCACCACCTACCGAAACACAGATGGCGATCTGGAAGGAAGACACTACCACCAACAACGGAGGCACCGATCCATTCCAAGACGTCCGCCGTTGGAGGTGAAATTCAAAAGGGAGCCAACACGCTTGGGGTTTTTCCTAACCCAAGTCCTCAGCTACATGGAGGAATACGGGCGGGACATCCCCAGCGACAAAGCCCGCATCCGGATTGTGCAATCTGCCCTGGACGGACCAGCTGCAGATTGGGTGGTGAACTTGCATGACTCCAATGCCCCAGAACTCAGTAACTTCAACCGTTTCATGTCCTCTCTGAGAAGATGATTTGAAGACCCCCTGGCTGATCGCAAAGCCCGCGAAAGGATAAAAACGATGAGGCAAGGCAAACGCCCAGTGACTGAATATACACAAGAATTCCGGGCCATTGCCAACAAACTGAACTGGCTAGAAGACATCCTCCTTAGCCATTTCAAAGACGGACTAAATTATGACCTCTATGACGTTTGCCTGCCCCGAGGGGACCCACACCAATTTGAGGAATGGTACATCTTGGCAGAGGAAGCAGAGATCGACATATTGAAGAGACACCGCCGAGGAAAACAATGGAGCCGCTCCCCTCCTGAGTTGACACACAAACCAGTGAAACCATTGGCTACAGCCAAGAAGCAAATGGGATGTTTCAAGGGCGGAAGAGAAGGGCATTGAGCTGTAGAATGCCGCTCCAAAGCCCCCCAGCACAACCCAGACAGATCCCCAATCAGCAAATCCGGAAAGTCTTCAGCTAAGCCAAAAGAAACTGCCATGAGAGTGATGGAAATTGCGGAACCCCCCACTTCTGCTCATCAGGGGGAAAGAACTCCAGCCTACACCGCAGGGCCGGTGGACGCCTCAGATGACAGCTCGGAGGGCGAACCCCTGGAAGGTGGATGCTTCACACCCATCCTTAAGACAGTGACTATGTTAATTCCCCCCATGCCCGAAGCCGTGAAGGTGAAAGCCTTAATAGACTCTGGCTGCACCCACTGCCTCATTAGCCCGACACTAGTGGGGAATCTGGGCATTCCATCGAGGAGACTGGAACAACCAATCTCATTTGGCCAGTTAGATGGATCCATAGCGGGGGGGGGGTTCCAGCTACCCTAGCCACTCTACCAATACACCTCTCCCTGGGCAAACGTGAGGAGGACATAACGTTTGTGGTGACCCCAGGCATGGAATGCCCAATGATCCTAGGGATGGAATGGTTAAAAAAATGGAACCCCTGGGTAAATTGGAGGACGACAGAAATCAAATTCCCGAAGGGGGACCCTATGGACTTAAAACCCCAAGATGGGCTACCAGAATCAAGAATAGAAAAAGCATCCATGGGAGAGGAAAAGGGACTAACAGAAATACCAGAGGAATACAGAGGCCTTGCTGAAGTTTTCAGTGAGGAGAGGGCGGATGAGCTCCCCCCCCCACCGACCCACAGACTGTACCATTGAATTCAAGCCTGGGGCAAAACTCCCAAAGCCCAGATTATACTCCATGAGCCCAAAGGAGAAAGAGGAAATGGAAAGATTCATTAAAAAAAATCTAGAGAGAGGTTTCATTGAGCCAGCCAAGCCTAAAGTGGCTGCCCTGGTCCTTTTTAGAGAGGAGGATGGCTCTTTACGCTTATGCGTGGATTACAGAGCCCTGAATACAATCAGTGAAAGCAACCTATACCTTCTACCCCTCATAAAAGACATGCTGTCACACCTCTCAAAAGGGAAAAAATTTTCTAAACTAGACCTAAGGGAAGCTTACTATCACGTGAGAATTAAGGAAGGGGACGAATGGAAGACTGCATTTAACTGCCCCATGGGGTGCTATCAATTCAAAGTCTTGCCATTTGGATTACAAGGGGGCCCTGCAGTCTTTATGTAATTAATCAATGACGTTCTAAGGGAGCACCTGTTTAAGGGGGTCCTTGTTTACTTGGACGACATTCTTATCTTTACTGAAACAAAAGAGGAGCATGTCAACCTTGTCAGAGCGGTTTTAAAGAAACTGCGAGCCACCCACCTATATGCCAAACTCTCAAAATGCGAATTCCACCAGGAAAGGATAGACTACCTAGGTTATCGCATATCCCCCCAGGGCATTGAAATGGACCCAGAGAAGGTCAGAGCAGTAGTAGATTGGGCACCACCCCACACAAGAAAGCAACTACAAAGTTTCCTGGGCTTTGCAAACTTTTACTGCCAATTCATCCCCTCATTTCCCCAGATAGCCTTGCCACTCACTAACTTACTAAAAACGAAAGGAGCATCCTCAGTAAAACCTAGCCAGCCACTAAATGGACAATGGAGTGCCAAGCAGCGTTTGAGAGACTAAAGAGACTTTTTTCTGCCGAACCAGTACTAAGGCACCCAGACATGGACAAGCCCTTCGTAATACAGGCAGATGCAAGTGATGTGGCAGTGGGGGCTGTTCTATTACAAGAAAACGATGATGGAGTATTGCAACCCTGTGCATATACATCCAAGAAACTCACGGAAACAGAACAGCACTGGCCCGTATGGGAGAAGGAGGCATACAGGATATGTTGGGCATTACTCACGTGGTGACAGTTCCTGGGAGGCAACAAAATCCCCTTCCAGGTGTGGACTGATCACAAAAATTTAGAAGCCCTGAAAACTTCCAGGAAACTCAATCCCAAACAAGCCCGCTGGTCCCAGCATTTTCACCAATTCCAATTTAAGCTCAAACATTTACCAGGAAGAAAGAACTTCCTGGCAGATGCACTATCTCGCATGCCTCAATATAACAGCGCACGAACCACAGACTCTAGACCAATAATGACAGAGTCACAACTGGCAGCACCAGTAACCACAAGAACCCAAGCCAAAATAAAACCACAACTGGACAGCCAAACTGGGATTGAATTCAGAAAAAGTTTGGAAACAGATGACTGGTTCCAGAAAAACAAACATGTGTGCACAATGAGAGACGGGTTGCCTTGGGTAGGGGAAAAGTTATATATACCAACAACTCAAAGACTAACTTTCATGCACCTTTGCCATGACACAAAATCAGCAGGGCATTTTGGATTTGTAAAAACTTTACACTTAACTAAACGGCAATTTTGGTGGCCATCAATAAAAAAGGACATAGAAAGTTATGTAGCCAGCTGCCCAAAATGTGCAACTGCAAAGTGGTTGCAAGGGAAATTGCCAGGACTATTACAACCAGTGGCAAATCCCTCAGCCCCCTGGAGGGAAATAGCCATGGATTTTATAGTGGAATTGCCAGAAAGCAATGGGAATACGGTTGTCTGGACAGTCACGGACTTGTTTTCCAAACAGGTGCACTTTATCCCTTGCCAAAAGACTCCCACTGCAAAGGCCTTAGCAAAACTTTTCGTCCAGGACATTTACAGATTGCACGGGGCACCCCAATGCATCATCTCTGATAGGGGAGTGCAATTTACATCTGCATTTTGGAAGGAATTTTTATCCCTCTTAGGGACCACTCGGACTGATATCTAGCCATCACCCTCAGTCAGATGGACAAACAGAACGTTGTCATTCAGTACTTGAGCAATATTTGAGATGTTTTTTGAATTTCCAACAAAGTGATTGGACGGACTTACTCCTTTTTTGCAGAAGTTGCCTACAATAATGCAGTCCACTCCAGCACAGGCTACACTCCTTTTCAAATAGCCAATTCCAGAGATTCAGTATGATATTTTAATGTGGGCCTGCATATGTACTAGAAGATACATTGGTTTACATTCCTCTAGAGTTCTGTTGCCAAAACTGTATCACACATTGACAGAAAGGCTGATATTAACAGATCCCATGTTTAGTACAAGTACAGAAAGAGTGAAGAAAAAAAAATCCTTGGGAATCAACTGATTCAACTGAAAAGTCAGCTTTTATGAATTTTTTAAAAAGTCAACTTTTATGAATTTTTTAAAAAGTACCACACATCAGAAGCCACAGTAGCAGTGGATTGGGAAAAATCCAGACAGGGAAAAGAAACTGGGATAGAGAGTGAGAATGTAATGAAATATCCTGGAAAAAATCATGATTGGTTGGTATTCTGAATAAGAATACTCTAGTTCTGTTCTCAGTTGAATTAAGAATAACTATTGCAATTTTTCTCAGCTCTATTATTATTTTGTAGTATTTTATTTTGTAATTTTTCAAACTTACACATTTTTTATAGACGATGGATCTTATAAGAGCATTACAAGAATTAGAAAATGCAACCTCTGGAGATGCAGCAGTTCATCAGAGGATAGCCTCAATACCTCTAGAGGTTCAAGATGCAACTTTGCTTAACAGAATCACAGGTTAGGCAAACTATGTTATAATTGTAGTATCAGAATATTATACTTAATTGGATAATTTATAATGTGAATTTTAAATACATTTTTGCTCACTTTGCAGACAAAGAATCAGGAGAACAGCTTTCCAAGATGGTAGATGATTCATGTATGTTGCTGGCGGATTACAATGGCAGGTTGGCAGCTGAAATTGATGATAGAAAACAACTAAATCAGATGTTATCAGATTTCTTACGATTCCAAAAAGAAATCCTGTCAGAGAAAGAACAAACATTGGAAGTGCGTGTTTTATTGTGGTAGTTCTTTTCCCCAGCTTTTTTTCCCTTAGTTAACATTCTTTACTATGTTTGCTTTTCCCCACAGGATGTGTTTAGATCATAAGATACTTCAGCTTTCTCATAATAGGTGGTTTTAACTCTTCTGAAGTATTAAACAGTAAAGTACATACATTCACTGTGGAAAAAATAAATCACAAATATACTTTTTTTATCAGCCTTTTGTGAGGTGAAATTTAATGCTAGATTATCTGCATTCTTTGTAGAAGTCTTAAGTTGATTTTTTTTCAACTTAGAAGTTTCAAGTGTTTAAAATTGAATTTTTTAAAACAAAAGTATAAAAGTCATACTTATTAACTTCAAAATTCTACCTAGAAAAAAAAAAGCTATTAGGACCACAATGGGGACCAGAAAATTCATCATTAAGCTGTATGTCATAAAGTGAGGCATCACATGAATGCCCCTGATTTTACAGTCTTTTTTGCCATGGTCAGCAAATCACCTTGGTTGTTAAGTGAGAGATCATGTGACTGCAACTTGTGACCTTTTCTTCTGGCTTCCCCATTCACTTTGCTGGTGGGAACCCAGCTAGCAGGTTGCAAATGGCAATTATAGATTGCCACAAGACACTGCAATAGTCATAAATGTGTGATGGTTGCCAAGCACCTGAATCACGATCAAGTGGCTATGGTGGCATTGTGACAGTGATAAGCCCAAGGACTGATCATAGATAACTTTTTTTCAGTGCTATCATAACTTCAAACAATTATAAAATGAATTGTCATAAGTCAACTACATATAGAGCTTTAAGATGATAGGTCCATGGGGGCGAACCTATGGCACGCATGCCGCAGATGGCACACAGAGCCCTCTCTGTGGGCACGTGCGCTGTCACCCCAGTCCTAGGCCTTCAGCTGGGTATTATAAAACCTTTTCCCTTTAGGCCTCCGCCGCCATGTGCAAAAAAATAAAGATTCAATCAATCAATCAATTTCAACTTCTTGTGGGAAAAAAAAAGATCTCGCAAAGTTGGAATTGATTGATTGAACTTTTTAGTCCCACCCAGTCTGCCATTATCACTGCAGGCACACCCACCCAATGGGCCACACTCACCTGGCACCTGACGATACATAAGTAGGTTTTGGGCACTTGGTCTCTAAAATACTAAATACTGTGATAGGTTATTTAGCAATCATTATTTATGGTAAATATTCTAGTAGTTGTACTTTTGAATAAATGTTGGTTGATTGAATGCCATAAATTTGTTCACTTTTTTCCCTCAGGAAATTGGAACACTGGTGATTCTGATAGACCTATTTATTAAAATTGACAACTTTTAACCTGATTTAACAACTTTAAATTCAGATTACATACCAGTTCTTCATATGTGTACCTTAAACTTGTATAATTTCTTACTCAACAGCATATAACAAAAACCTAATATTATTATCCTTCTATCCTCCATGAGGGTGGGTAATATCTTACAGTTTTGATAGTAACATGTCATTAATATATATCCAGCTTCTATTTCAGGTGAGGAACATGGATATTATCTTCTTATAGTGACATCTTTTGTTAGTAATGCATCCTGCTAAAAATAAAATTCAGAATCAAAATCCTGTTTTGTCTCCTCTTTCTGAAAAAGAATAATTCTTATACCTGTATGTTTGACAAATCAGTTTTGCTTAAACTACAATAAGCTGTATACCAATCATTCTCATCAAACTGAATGTGTTAAATGAAATTCATTAAAATTAATTTCTATACAATTGAGTTCATCAATTTAATATTGTCTATTGAGATTATTAGAAAATCACTTAGTAAACATGTCTGTGCATGCAATATTAAATTGCATGAATAACTAGGTTGTGTATGTATATGAATGAATATATGAGAGATGGGAACTCCCTCTGTTAATAGGATTGATTGCTTTTTTTCCTCCTCTTTTTCTCCTCCTTTCTGCCCACTGGGTTATAGAGAATTGTGGATTGCTTTTGAAATTTTAAGAATGAAAGGATAGTCTTAATATTATTCTGATGCGACATAAAGATTAAAATCTTCCCTTGTCAGTTTGCAATATCTGTTGTTTAGAACAAGTGTGTATAATTAAGTCCTAAGAACCATACGTGGCCCTTGAAAATCTGAGATCCCCCACAAATCATTTAAATTAAGTTGTCTCAAGCTATCATATTAATGTAGTAGGGAAAAACTATTGAATACATGGAGATTTTTCAATTAAATATTTTTTATCTTGGACATTGCCAAAGTAGGAATGTGATCTCAACATGCCACTTAAAGTCCAAATGCTCCAATTGACCTGAAAAAGAAATATTATATTCTGTGTTTAGCAGAATTGAAGAATGGTGGATTATGTAAAGAAATAATTATGTGAAAAAGTAAAAGATGTGAGAAGTATAACATCTCTTCATGCTGAAAAATATAGTTTAAAATTGTGAACTCTTAAAATTCCAATATTCCTGGATAAATATGTCCTAAACTTGATAAAGACCTTAAACTTGGTAAAGAGAATCCAGAAAACTTTTTTTATTGAGGAAATTTATCTATAGCTACATGTTTGTGTATAGCAAAAGTATGTGAACTGTTGCTTTCAGTAACTAGTGTCCCACAGGATTTGATTATTTTCTCAGTTGAAACACTTGACTAATTTTCCCTTCAAATGTGCTGATAATTCTAGAATTTCACATACATTTGGCATCACATATGGCTTCAGAGAATTTTCCTCAATAAACAAACGTATATAATGTTTTAAATTCATTTGTTTAATTGGGTTCTCCTTAGTTGTGTAGACCTGTATGGAGAATAGATCGCATACTTATACTGATACATTAAAAATGCTCATAAACTGAAAAACAACTTATTTTTTAAACTGTTTGCTGTTATCTAAATATAAGTTGTATTTATTGGTTATCAGTTCAATCAATCAAATTGTAATTGGTTATTCTAAACTTCTGTATGTATGCATGTGTGCGTATGCATATATTGTTGTAAGAATATTCTAAACCAGGCATGTCAAACTGCCGGCCCACGGGCTGGATGCGTCACACCAAAACCGTGCCCACCCCATTGCCTGCAATGGGGGAAAAGTCCCGACGTCACATGACATCATGTTGAGATTTCTTTGCACCCTCCAAAGTAAAATTACATGTTAGGGATATAGGAGTCCATCTAAAACAATTAAAAACAGTAAATCTTTTCTTACAACACTTCAATATTTGACAATAGAATAGTATGTCTCTTATAAACATGACTGCCTAAACAGTAACCTCAGGGAGAGAATGAAATCGTGAGAGCACTTTGGACATTACGTTATCAGAACTGTTCTACAAATTTTGGGAAATTATTGACCTCCGAGATAAAATGTGTTAATTCTTACATATTTTGATGAGATGAATTAGAAAACAGGTGATAAAGGTGTTGTTGGTTAAAGTTGTCAAGATATTTCACAATAAAGATTTATACACAGGAGAGTATATTTGCCTACAAGGGAGGGAGGTGTCTAATGATTATGATGCCTCATAACTTCTCAACAAAGTACAGTAGAACAATGAAAATGGTACCACATGGAAGTGTATATAAATTTATCTTCACTTTGAGACTAAAGACTATTACATATCTGTAATTTATTCTTTAATTGCAAGATACATTTATCTTAGTCAGATCTACGCATCATACAGTTACATCTGGTAGCTTGTGAAAATGTCAATGCCTAACATTTTCAAGGAACAGTTGCAGGATATTTTCCCTCAGAAGCCAAGATGCCTTGAAACTGTAAACCACACAGACAACTTCTGCTACATTTGTGGCAAGGTTACATTTGCATCTCAGAAGTGCAGTAAAAGTGGTAAAAAAGGCATACCACCTATATTTTGGATGCAAAATATGGGATCGGGTCAAGAATTGGGCCCCCCATTACTGTTGCATTACATGTACAACTTAGTTGCATCATTGGCTAAATAAGAAGAAAAAGTCCATGCCTTTTGCAGTGCCAATGATATGGAGGGATCCTACCAATCGTAGCAACTGCTATTTTTGCATAGTTCTCCCAATTGCAAAAGGGATTTCAAGAAAAAAAGTAGACTGTGAAATATCCAAACATTCCATCTGCACTGTACGCTCTGGTGAGGATTTGCCAATTCCAGATCCACCAGAATCCTACTCTCTCCACTCAGATGATGAGCAAGATGCAGCCATCGATGTCAGCAGACCTAAACTTCAGCCCACTGTATGCTCCTCCTGAACCACATCTAATTTCACAGAATTAAATGACCTGGTCAGGGATTTGGAATTGCCTAATAATAAGGCAGAGCTACTGGACTCCAGATTACAACAGTGGAACCTCTTGCAGAGTGCTGTCAGGATCTCAGAACTTTTTAAAGGCGATGGACAAAACAAAACTAGGTTTCCAATATCTCTATAAAAAGTTTCTAAGACTTAAAGCCAAAATCACTGAAGGCGTCTTTGTCAGTCCACAGATTCAAGAACTTCTCTGAGATGAAAAGTCTGATCGTCTGTTGTGTGGCAAGGAAAAGAAGGCATGGAAAGCCTTCAAGTTTGTGGCAACGGAGTTTCTCGGGAACAGCAAGGCAGATGATTGAAAAACAGGTAGAAAATTTACTTAGGTCCTATAAAGCACTTGACGCAAACGTGTCACTAAGAATTCACCTCTTACACTCAACGTTTAGACTATTTTCCTTTGAACTTTGGGGCAGTGAATGATGATCATGGGGACAGATTCCACCAGAATATTACAGGCATGGAGAAAAAATGCCGATTACTGCTGGAATCTCCCCAGGGATGATTCTACTGCAGTTCACAAGAGAAAACCCAAAAAGCGCAGTTTAGATACCAAATAAAGATGGAACCTTGTCATTTAATCTGATGTTAGAGCTTGTCAGTTTTTCGTGCAAAAAGCATGAAATGTTACGTGAAAAATCAATAAATGAATAGAAAGTTATGTTATTGGTATCAATAAAAAGATAAATT